ATTATGATAATGATAATAACATTAATAATGATGGTAATGATGATCATGATAATGACAATGATGATAATAATAATGACAATAGAAACAACAACAATAATAACAGTATCATTCATAATAATAACAATGATACCAATATCAATTCTGATAATGATAATGACAATAATACGGATAATAATGATGATAACGGTGATAATGACAATAATAACAACCATGACAATAGAATGATGATAATAGTAATGATAATAATAATGATAATAATAATAATAATAATAATAATAATAACAATAACAACAATAATAATGATAATAATAATAACAATAACAATAATAATGATGATAATAATAATAAAAATAACAAAATAATGTTGATAGCAATAACAATGATAAGAAGAAGGAGGAAATAAAAAGTAAAACGAGACAAGAAATCCCTGGATCCCTTAAGAAATTCCTTATATTTCTGTGAAGGAAGCCTTTTTAAAACACTAACAGACATTTAGTTTTTTTCTTTCGTTTTTGTTCCTTTTTATAGAACTTTGGGCATTCTGTGACATTCCTCGACTTTCATAGAAACAAGAGAAATCCCAGATTCGTCAGAAAATGTATTACTATACAACTCAAAATACTTTATAGTTTGCTGCAATAACATTACATATCACCTTTGTCTCTTTCTTAGATTAAATGCGTGTTTTTTTTCTCCGAAAGGATAATACAAAAGCTGAAAAGACAGAAAGGGGGATTTGGAAAGGATTGGCCTGCACTCTTCCTGTCCCTCGGCCGATTAAGGAAGGGATCAGGAAGCTTATTGCCTCTGTGCTTATGGTCGCTTTTTCAATTCCCTTGTCCAAGAGTGGGAATGAGAAAATGTTTTACAAGAATGAAGACTGATTTATAACATATGATGTCCTTTCGATAGAGATAGAGAGAGAAAGAGAGGAGGGAGGAAGAATGAGAGAAAGAGAGAGGGGGAGAGACAGGCAGGCAGATAGACGACAGACAGACAGAGTGAAGTACTGGAAGGGAAATTAATATGAACTTGTAATCAAACATTCAATACGCAAAAATGTTATAAGATACATATACCTAATGCGCAAGGCTCGATAGATTGGTACTGGAGGACCCAAACAAGCTAATATTTTTTACTTGAATATATTTTACACTGATTAAATGAAATGCACAGACAACCGGTTGGAATAATGGAGAGAAAAGTAGAACAAAATGGGAATTATTCATGTAGCCTCCGTTATCTCGACGGCCATAGATTCTAAATTAGGTTGATAAAAAGTGAGGGCAAGAACGAGACAGATTCCTCACAGGTCACAGGCCATTCGGTCCGTGTCGTGACCTCGGTGTTCACCTCTGTGTGTGTGTCACATGCACACAGATTAACTTGGACACATGTAAATGACCAGAGAGAGAGAGAGAGAGAGAGAGAGAGAGAGAGAGAGAGAGAGAGAGAGAGAGAGAGAGAGAGAGAGAGAGAGAGAGAGAGAGAGAGAGAGAGAGAGAGAGAGAGACAGACAGACAGACAGACAGAGAATGAGAATGAGAGATAGAGAAGGAGATAGATTGATAGAAAGAGAGAGAGATACAGACAGACACAAAGACAGAGCCAGAGGAGGAATTAACAAATTTCACGCTGGGGCGGCCCAGGCCCGTCATCCAGCCTCCCAGGAGGGCGCGCCGTATTTCATTTTCGTCGTGAAAGGAGAGCCATTGCAAGAAACACCAAGGGAGGCTTGCAATGAGGGAAGGCAGCGCACAGCCACAGAAAAGAATTGGCGGAGGAGAAGACTTATTCGCAGCCCGAGAGAAGTACGAACTGGAGAAGCGCGAAGGGAGAAGAACGAAGGGGAAGAACAAGCAAGACGAGAGGAAAGGGGTGGCTGGAAAATCTCTTATACAGGCGACGGCGAGGGAACGGTATTCTGGCGCGGGATAATCCCGGCCAAAGGGGATCGGCCGATCGAAGAAAGAAAGGGAGAAAAAGGGAGCAGCGCGCCTCGCCGAACACAAGTCCCGAGAACTCCTGGTCTGCACAAGTAACGCCTCTCCTGAATCCCTAAGCTGTCCCTCAGGAGCCTGTCGGTAGGGCGAGAGAGCCGCTAAGGAGACCGTAAGGCGTCCGGGTCTTGGTAAGTTTACTTTGGCGCGCGATGTACTGTGGCCGCGCCGAGGAAGGGACAGAAATGGCTCTCAGAGTACTTTTTCGCTCGCTGGCGCTGCGATCAGCTGTTTGGCGGAACATAATTTCGCAACGCTTCATCTCCACATACGCAGAATGGGCACGACAAAGCATCATTTATGATAATGACAATAATGATAATGATGATAATAACCATAATGATAATGATGATAATAACCATTAATATGATACTATATAATAAATAATAATAATAATAAATGATAATAAATAATATTAATATTGATGATAATAATAACAATGATAATAACAATCATAGTAAGAATGATAGCAATATTGATAATGATAATAAAGAAATAATACCGATAGTGATAATGATGATAAAAATAATGATAATAAAAAACAATGATAATAATAACAATGACAATAATAATTATATTAATAATAATAATAATAATAATAATAATAATAATAATAATAATAATAATAATAATGTCAATAATAATAATAATAATGTACACCCCAAATTAAATCGTTCTCTATTTTTCCTCATTCTGATTCAAAAAAAAAATCCACTTCGGCCGGTGCACATCCCATGCATATAAGGAATCCGTGACCCCCATACAAGGAACAAAAAAGGTCAAGGTCCATTCCGGAAAGGTCCCGAAAAGGTCTGAGTGAATACGAGAGCAAACTAACGTTCCTTAAGTGTACTTGCGAGACCACCTGCGTGCTCCAAGATGCCTGTTACGCAAAAATATTGCTGCTCTCACTTACAATGCTGTTGGAATTTACTACAGCT